TTATGTGTGCCTGATCCTCTAGCTTTTGCAGTAACCTCTTGTGGGGAACTGTGTCGAAGGCCTTCTTGCAGTCCAAAAAAATGCAGTCGATCCACCCCTCTCTCTCTTGTTTTACTTCTGTCACCTTGTGATAAAACTCTAGTAGGTTTGTGACACAGGATTTTCCTTACCTGAAACCGTGCTGGTTGCCAATTATGCACTTGTTTCTTTCCAGGTGCTCCACCACTCTCCTCCTGATGATCTTCTCCATGACCTATCATACTATACACGTTAGTGATACAGGTCTGTAGTTTAGTGCCTCATGTCTCTCCCTTTTTAAAAATTGGGACTACATTTGCCATCTTCCATACCTCAGGGAGTTGCCCAGTTTCAAATGATGTGTTGAAGATCTTTGTTTATGGCACACACAGTGTCTCTGCTCCCTGTTTAAGGACCCATGGAGAGATGTCTGGTCCCACCGCCTTTGAGGTGTCAAGTTCGCACAGCAGCTTCTTCACCTCCTCCTTGGTTATATGTACCTCATCCAGCACTTGCTGGTGTACCCCCCTGTTCTGATTTCCTGGAGTCCTACTGGTTTCCACTGTAAATACTTCTTTAAATCTCGTGTTGAGCTCCTTACATACCTCTCTGTCGTTTCTTGTGAACTCCCCATCACCCTTCCTCAGTCTGATTACCTGGTCCTTGACTGTTGTTTTCCTCCTGATGTGGCTGTGCAACAGCTTCGGGTCAGTCTTGACTTTCGATGCTATGTCATTTTCATATTGTCACTGAGCCTCCCTTCTTATCTGTGCATATTCGTTTCTGGCTCTTCGGCTGATCTCTTTATTTTCCTGAGTTCTCTGTCTTCTCTACCTTTTCCATTCTCTAGTACACCTAGTTTTTGCCTCCCTACACCTTTGAGTGAACCAAGGACTCGTTCTGTTCTTCCCATTATTTCTGTTTCCCATGGGAACAAACCTCTCCTCTGCCTCCTTGCATTTTGTTGCCACATAGTCCATCATTTCTTGTACTGGTTTTCCTGTCAGTTCCCTCTCCCACTGAATGTCTTGAAGGAAGTTCCTCATGCCTGAGTAGTTCCCCCTTTTGTAGTTTGTGTTTTCCCAACCTATTCCTGCTACTCTCTCCACTTGGAGCTCAACTATGTAGTCGAAGCACAGAACCACATGATCACTAGCTCCCAGGGGCCTTTCATACATGATATTCTCGATGTCCGAACTACTCAAGGTGAATACAAGGTCCAGTCTTGCTGGTTCATCCTCTCCTCTCTCTGGTAGTGTCTCGAACATGTTGATGCATGAGGTTTTCCATTACCACATCCATCATCTTGGCTCTCCATGTTTCGGGACCTCCATGGGGCTCCAGGTTTTCCCAGTCAATCTCCTTGTGATTGAAATCACCCATAACTAGTAACTTTGCTCCCCCCCATGTGTGCTCTTCTGGCCACCTCGGCTAGTGTGTCGACCATTGCTCTGTTGCTCTCATCGTGTTCTTCTCTTGGCCTCCTGCAGTTCTGTGGTGGGTTGTACATTACTGCAATTATCACCTTATGTCCCTCAGACTGGATTGTTCCTACTAAGTAGTCCCTTTCGCCTGTGCCATCCATTCTTCCATTTTCTCAACCCCCCACTGGTTTTTAATGAGCAGTGCGACTCCTCCTCCCCCTCTCCTCCCTCTGTCTTTCCTGAGGATTTGATATCCGGATGGAAAGATTGAATCTGTTATTATTCTGGTGAGTTTAGTTTCTGTGAGTGCTATTATGTCTGGGGATGTCTCCTTGATTCTTTCATGTCACTCCTCATACTTATTTGTTATTCCATCTGCATTTGTTTACCACACCTTCAACTTCTTTTCTAAGACTGTGGTCTGGGAGGTATATTGGGGTTGGGGAAGTGCGAGACCTGATAAGAAACTATGGGTGATTGCTGTGGGGGTGGAGTTTGTAATGCAGTGGGTGGGGGCGTTAGATGTGGCATGAGTGTTTTGGTTTAGAGTGTTTGGTTGCACTGGGGTTGACATGGTTGGGAGGCTTCTATAGGAAGTTGTGAGGGAGGCTGTATTTGATCTTCTTCCTGGGTCTGGGATCTCCTGTCTGTCTTCTCCATCCCCTCTCTTTCCTCCTTTCGCCTTTGTACCAGCTCTCAGTTTTTGCCTTTCTTCTTGTGTTCTGTCGCGGTCGAAATACACCTTCCTGTATGCCGGCATGTCCCTTAATCGTGCTTTCTCCTGCAGGATCCTGTTCCGAGTCGATTCTGCCTTGAAGGTCACTTTCACTGGCCGGGTTCTTTTTTTTACAAACCCCCCTATTCTCCAAAAATTTTCCATCTGGGTCATGTTGTCTTCTATTGCTTTTATGATGCTTTCAATTGCTTTTTTTTCCCCCTTGTTTTCTTGCTTCATATGTTTCCCCTTCAACTTCCTGGAGCCCATACACAAAGACTGACCTCACCCTTTCATTCTCCCACTGCATATCCTTGTGTATCCCCTCATTCAAATTGATTTCCTCCATTGCAGCTTTCTTTTCTTCAGTTTCACTAGCTAATGTACTTGGGCTCAGTGGCCTGTCGTTTTCCCTTCTCGGCTTTCCATGGGCTCTGCTGTTGTCTGTTAGGGCCTCCACATATAGCTTAGTTCTTTCATTTACTACAGTCTCCTCTGGTAGAGCTTCTACATGCAGTTTTGCTCCTTCTTTCCCTACAGTACCCTTATTTGTGACTGAGGTAACAGTCTCTGATGTCAATCCCAAAATGTTCTTTAGTTCTTTAGGCTGTTTCAGATTTTTCAGTTCCTCTTCTAAACTCTGTATCCTAGCCTCTGCTGCTTTGACTTGCACCTCCCACTTCCTGCTTTCCATATCTATTCTCTCTTCCATTCTCATGCTAAGTTCTTATAGTTTCTTTTCCCATTCATGTTCCCTTTTTATGAGCTCTGCTGCCCAATCTTCCTTTGCAGCTTCCTCGTCCTGTCCCTTGGTTTTTCTTCCTGCTCTCTGGCAACCCATTTTTGTTTTTTCCTGGTTGCCTCAGAGTGGGAAACCTATGTAATTCTGTGTGTTAGGTTAGTTGTGTGTATGTCAGAGTGGGGGGGGGGAAGGTAGAGGAGGAACTGTGGCTGTGTGGGAGAGGAGTAGGGAGGGGGATTTAGGGGGAATATGGGGAGTGGGAAGGAGGGAGAAGCAAGTGGGAGAGGGGGAAGGAGGGAGAGGTGGGGAGGGGAAGGAGGGAGAGGTGGGGAGGGGGAAGGAGGGAGAGGTGGGGAGGGGGACGGTGAAAGAGGGAGGGGTGGGATCAGGGGAAGGATTGAGATGTCGGTGGGGAGGGGGGATTGTATGTATGAGTCTGGATATGTGTGTGTGTGTGTGTGTGTGTGTGTGTGTGTGTGTGTGTGTGTGTGTGTGTGTGTGTGTGTGTGTGTGTGTGTGTGTGTGTGTGTGTGTGTTTCTTATGTGTCTGAAAAGTAGGTGACTTGTGCGTTGGAGTGTAATGTGGAGTCTCAGTGGTCGCTTGTGACCACAACCTCTTGTGACCTGACCCCCACCCTCCTGGGATTTGACCCATACCTACTTACAATGTTGCCCTTTATGCTTGTCCTGCCACCTAGCTTATAGTAAGTTACTCGCCTTGTTCAATGGATTACCAATTGCTATTCCTTATTGAATACTTGAGTGCCTATTCTTTATCGTGCTATGAGAGGCCATTCACAATCAGCTTGGCGGTTAATTGGAACCTGGAACCCCACACCCAAACAACCACTCATAGGTGAATACAGTACTTGCAATGCAGCTGTAACAGCCTGTAGATTGTCCAGCTCGATGTGACGTCCTGGCGTAGATCCACCTCAATTTCTTCTCTTTAATAATGTACCTTATTCACTGTATTTATCTCACTGGTCACGCTATTGTTTCACTTTATTATCTTTCTTGGATGACATGTGATAACGTCGCCTTACCACCCACACTAGCCTGCCCGCTCTGACTGCGCCACCACGTTTTACTTTCTAGCTCACTTTCAAAATTGTGGCTCTCCCCACACTTATGTGGCTCAGGCAGATTGTAAATCGCTTCTAGAATTGTTCACTACCCTGACACACTTTGCAACCCTTGCAGAACACTTGGGTAGCTCTCAAAAACACTTATATTCACGGAGCACGGAAGGCGTGACTTGCGCGCTCGGTGTCCCTACTGTGTGTGTGTGTGTGTGTGTGTGTGTGTGTGTGTGTGTGTGTGTGTGTGTGTGTGTGTGTGTGTGTGTGTGTGTGTGTGTGAGTGAATGCCTTCGTACTGATGTTCCCAAAAGCTACCTTTAATTAAATTTGTCAGCCTCACGTTTTTTTAAGTGATTATTTGGCAAGTGTATCTCAGGTGACATTCTCAAAACTAAACTCACCCTAAGGTCCTTCTCAACAGGACGTCTTTGTCCTACTCCAATTTTCATAACTTTGTTTCAGTTTGGATTAAATTCCAACAGTCATTTGCCTGACCAATAATGCAACTTTTTCCGATACATTTTTAGTCTTTCCTGATTTGTTTATATTTGTATGTTCCTCTTTAGTTTCACATCATCTGCGAGGAGGGACTCCTCTGACTCGATTTCTTCTGTCATGTCGTTTACGTACAAGAGAAACAGTACTGGTGCAAGTATTGACCCGTAAATAATCCAACTGCACACGCTAGCCCGGTTTGTCTCTTCCTTCATGAGGGTAACTTTTTATTTCCTTCCCATTAAATATTCCTTTATTTACTGTAGAGTTTTCTCGTAATTCCTGCCTCCTCCTCTAGCTTTTGTGCCTGTCTCTTGTGAGGTGCTGTATCAAGTACCTTCTTTCAGTCTAAAATTATATAGTCCATCGATCTCTATCTCTCCTGCCTAAATTTTCGTTATTTTTTTATAGAACTTCAGCAGAGTTTTGAGACATTTAATATTTCGTAAACCATGCTGGTTGTTTGATTCCATTTATTTTCGGGTGTTCCGTTACTCTTTTGATAATCTTCTCCATAAACTTACCATTCATATTAGTGACACAGGCCTGTAATTCAATGTCACTTCTGTCCTTTTCTACTCCAGCGCCTCTGAAGCTGGTTGTGAGCCAAGTAAACAGCAAGCATTTTCCCTCCGGATGGCCATGCTGAAGTGCTGAAACATGAAAGTGGCTGCCCATGGGTTCCAAGCAGAGTCAATGAGTCTGAACCTAGTTCTTTGAGGAAACGTGTTTTTCTTTTTCACTGATCACAAGGTCTCTGATCCCAATGGGACAAATTGATACTGATAGTTTACGTCTCTGTACTTGCTGGTCTTGTACCTCTCCCTGTGATCCGCAGTACCTCCCTGTTGCCCATCACTCTAGTGGATGTAGGTGTTAGCCAGAGTCGACACGCAAGTGTAATCCCATGCTGAAAGCTTAACATTCTTCCAAGCACACATAGTGATCTCGTCTGGGCAGTTTAAGGATTGTGAGTGTTGATGGATACCAGGGATCGGGGCTTTCTCTCGGCTAGACATCCAGCCGTAGCAAGGCTTTTCTTTATGATGTCCTTGACTTCATTGTGTCTTGCGTGCGAACCCGTGGTTTGGAGCAGTTTAGACCGTGTAGACCATACTGGATGGCTTGTGCTGCAAATACACGTATGTTCCGTGTGAATTTGGGCAGCAAGGCAGAGATCCACTCTGGACTATTTGTAGGCCAGTGCTGCACTGGGTTTTGGTGCTGGAGCAGCAAGAGTCCTCCACTCAATAATGGCCCTTGTCCAACTTGGATTCTGTTTCCTTGCTAAGTCACTAAGTTTGTCTGGAATAATTTGTTTTATTTACTCGTTTGATGCTATGGAGCAGGATAATGCTGTTAGGGCAATATGTGAGGATTTGCATACCCCCAG